AGAGAGAGAGAGATAAGGAGAGCAAGTGCCTTAATGGTGGGGAGAGTGAGGGGGGTAGAGAGAGATAGGTAGAGCAATGGTGTAAATGGTGGAGAGAGAGGGTGAGACATAGAGAGAGAGAGAGAGAGATAAGGAGAGCAAGTGCCTTAATGGTGGGGAGAGTGAGGGGGTAGAGAGATATAGGGAGAGCAATGGTGGAAATGGTGGAGAGACTTTTAATAGAACTTTTATTTTGATCATTTCATGATTTTTCCATCTTTCCAATAATCACATTTTGACCCATCTGTGTAAAAGTGATGTAGAAATAAAAAAATATATACATTCGTTCATAAAGTAAGAAAAGATTGAAATAATGATCGAAAACAAGATATTTAATAACTACGTAGAATATGAAATGATGAACAACTTTTATTTCAAAGATATAACAAAGAAACTCTCAGCCATGCATGAGATTACACAGGAAATGAATAATGGTTATCTTTGACCTGTAGAAGGAGTTTTTATATATCCAGTGTCAAAGGGTTCAAGTGGTTGTATTGAATTTTATGTGTTTTTAAACAAAACAACCAACAGAAAAAATTAAGAACAGAATTTCAAACTCACCTTAAAGTTGAACATCTGAGAGAAGTCAGTGAAAGAAGTAGAAAATCCTGATCTGACAGTTTCTGCTTCTTCAGTTAAATGATTAAAACTTAGCTCTTTCTTCCAAAGGCTGCTGAGAGCTGATAGGAACAGGGATCCATTTTTTTTTTTTTTGTCATCACTTTACAGTTACCATCCAAAAGTGACTTCCCAATTTACTTCCTCATTTCTAAAAAAATAATCTTTATTGCATCACAGTGAAATAAAGCCTTATGTAAAATACAAGAGCCCCCTTGCTCAACAACTCTTGTTCATTCCTCATTGAGTTTAAACTCCTCAGTAGTGACATCAGGCTGTCGGCCTCGTCACAGAATATTTACTTCATGTTACTTCAATGTAAAAACTTGACCCTTAGTGATTCAGACTGTAGAAACTTTTCTATAACGGTGTGTCTGTAAACACAAGGGATTACTATATAAAGTAGTAAGAAAAGAAAAAGTCTGATTGATACAATAAAGAGTCAACTAACAAACAAGACACTAACATTCAGGATTAAAACAACAATCAAACTAATCAGTTCAGATTATTCTGCGTCTCAGATTCAGACAAATTACATTTAGGTCAAAAGAAAATATTATCACATTGAAATATACTTTAAAACATTTATTCTGAGAAGCTGTAATTTTTTTCAAATACGACCTTTTCACTGAGCATTAGAATAAAACAGAACCGGAAATGTGTCCGTCGCCGTGAAACCGTCCGCCGTCGTGCAGCAGCGATCGCGGTCCCGTGTTGTGGACCAGTGGTTCCGCTGTGCTGCAGCCCGGGTGGAAACATGAGCGCCGTGTGTTCGCGTGAACATTTAACTTCGCGTCGATCATGAGTGGGACATTGACAAGTTTCTCCGAGGACATGGACCGACAGATCGTTCAGGTCGGTGGACCGGGGACCGAGCTCGAGCAACGCGACACCGTGTTCTAACCGGTGGCGCTGGTAACTGTTAGCTAATGCCGTCAATGCTAGTCCCCGGACTTTAACTTCAATCTGTTGAGGTTCGAACGTGACACACACGTTGTCCTGCACACGAACACAAAGAGAAGTCATGTGTGTGTGTGTGTGCAAGCGGACAACTTTTTATCCCCCGGTCCAAGAAGCTTCCTCCTTCGAGCAGCGTTATGTTTAACGTGCTAATACTCAAAGTGTTTGGCTGCAGCTCACGTGTGTCACCTTAGATTCCTCCGTCTCAATCACTGCTTCTTGGCTCAGTCGATTTTTTTTTTTTTTACGTGGATAAAATGGCTGAAAGTAGAAAAAAAAGTGCACATTAGAATGAACAGAGGCGTCTTCGGGGGGTTTTGTGTTGAACCCTGTGTTTGACGGCTCTCATGTCTGAAAACAGAGAGAAATGAGAATGTCACATCTATTAGTTATACTTTAATCGAGTTCCACGATTTAAACTGTGCCGCCACACGGGTGTTAGTGTTCTGGGAGCATGGCATTTACTTACACCTAATGGGAAATACACAGATTCACCGGTTGCTTTATGTCAAACATCTGTTATGATATATTCTTTATAACATCTCCAGTGTCATGATACGTTCAGTTCTGTTTGAGCTAATTCGCTTGTTTTTTTAAATATATACTTGACAATCAACCTGACATTGATGCAAACAGCAGACCGGCTCGCTGGTTCAAAACATTCCCATAGTACAGTAGGGAAAGCCCAGATGTCTTTGGGATGGATGTGTAATTCATTTAATTATTTACATGAGGCCTTTTGCTATGTCTAAAAAGGCCTGAGATTTAATAGGTTACACCATTTTTTAATGTCAT